GATAAGGACCTGGAAGTGTCCACTGCATTTGGCAGCAGTGGGTATCCCAAGAGCCATGTCAGCCCCGTGCCAGGGTCAGATGGCAGTGGGCATTAGCAGTGTGGGGTGGCAAGGGCCCACCTCCGCATAGGAGCACACGGGGCTGGGGCCCAGGCTCAAGCTTGGCCAGGAGGCCCAGTCTCCTGAGGGAGGCAGGCCTCTCCCACTGAGCCCAGGGAAGAGAGAGAAGTATTTGCAAGGGTCACAATCCCTACTAGGTAGCCGTCTCCCCTTGTCATTTGGTGCAGGATGGGGGGCTGCAGAACAGGTCTGTGGCTGCTTTGCAAGCCATGCAGAGAAGGGGTGGTGCCGAGGGTTTGTCAGGCATGGCCTGGAAGGACAAAGGACTGGCAGATCAGGTGGCTGAAGGGCTGGGCGCTGGGGTCTAAGGCTGAAGAGGGAAGGAAGTCTGGGTATAGAAGCCCCGATGGGAGCCAGCAGGCCTCTAGGGGTGAGGGGACAACCTGGGGGTGCGGCTCAGGTCTGGCTGTGGTAAGTAGGTGGTGGAATTGGCATTGCGGGACTGAGGTAGTGAGGCGTTTAGGCCAGGGTGGTGGAAGGATTATCTTTCGGGCACGGAAGACAGAGGCAGAGGCCTAGACAGGCCCAGTGAGGCCACAGGGCAACCAGGAGGTGGCCTTTTTGTCTAGGGAGGCTGAGGTGTCACTGGGGCATGGGTGGTGGTGAGGATCCCACCCTCTGGGTCTCGATTCTGGGGTGAGGCTGAGGACAGAAGCCCTTGTTTACGGTCCAGCAGGGTCTGGGCAGTGCAGGTGGGCAGGAGGGGCCCAGAGCACCACGGTGGATGTGCCCAAGGCAGTGGGGGCTTCCTCCTTCTGGGTGGGGCTCCAGTGTCTTGTGTGTGTCCCAGCTCACTGAGGGGAAGATGATGGAACGGAGGAAGAAGATCGCCCTGGAGCTCTCGGAGCTTGTCGTCTACTGCCGGCCTGTGCCCTTTGACGAAGAGAGTAAGGAGTGAGGCCCAGGCAGGGTGCACATGTGTTGGGTGCCCTTTATTTGGGGGTGGGGAGCTGGCCACCAGCATTGCCTGGGTGGCTGGGCTCTGTAAGTGTTCCTGTTTGGCCCAGAGATTGGCACAGAGCGTGCCTGCTACCGGGACATGTCATCGTTCCCGGAAACCAAGGCTGAGAAATATGTGAACAAGGCCAAAGGCAAGAAATTCCTCCAGTACAACCGGCTGCAGCTGTCCCGCATCTACCCCAAGGGCCAGCGTCTGGACTCCTCCAATTACGACCCCTTGCCCATGTGGATCTGCGGCAGTCAGCTGGTGGCCCTCAACTTCCAGACTCCAGGTGAGGGGGTGCCCTGGGGGCAGTAGGGGCCCCGCCAAGCAGTTGGGCTGGAGTCCACTTACTCCGGCTTTCCCAGATAAGCCCATGCAGATGAACCAGGCCCTCTTCATGGCTGGCGGGCACTGTGGCTACGTGTTGCAGCCGAGCACCATGCGGGACGAGGCCTTCGACCCATTTGACAAGAGCAGCCTCCGCGGGCTGGAGCCATGTGCTATCTGCGTCGAGGTGAGTGACCTCATCTCAGGAGTCAAGGCTGGGGTGCTGGTGCGTGCGACTGGAGAAGGGGCACCAGGCTGTTCTCGAGCTTGAGGAAGACATGACTGTCCTCTTGATGGGGAGAGGCAGCTGTGTGGAGCTGAGCTCTGTGGGGCACAGCATGGAGCAGCTGGGCCAAGCATGGCCAGTTCTAAGCCCTAAGAAGGCAGGTCATCCAGTGAGGCCAAGCTGTGGGAAGCCACTGCCTGGCAGCAATAGGCAAAGGACAGGCAGGAAGCCAGGGCCTGTGGTGAGCTAGGGCCTGCGCACAGGAACAAGCCAATGGCACTGATTAGGGTGAGCCTTTATCCAAGAGGGACCTCAAGCCCCCGAGGTCCAGAGCTATTACTCCTGTGCAGAAGTCCCTGAGCGCCTCTGAGGCCCCTGCTGAGAAGCTGGGATGTGGGCAGGACATGTGCAGCCTGGTGCAGTGGCATTCAGGGTGGGTGGGCTGAGCAGAACCTGGCAGGAGCAAGGACGGTGTGGGGAGCTGTGGGGTGAGCATGTGCTTCTTCCCAGGGAAGAGATTTCTTTTTTTTTCCCCTAGGGGGAAGTAATTTTTAAAGTTTCCATATTAAAAGAGACATGGATTGAAGGCAAAGTAGATTGTAGAAATTCACATGGAAGTTGAGGCTAAAGCTTTCTTCAAATGGATTTTGTTTGACAGTCCCTGCCTTTAGGGCCCTGAGTGTCCTCACGGCCCAGCAGAGGGCGCACTGCCTCTATTGCAGGTGGGGACTTGGTGGGGGCAGCAAGGACAGTCTCAGGCTCATCTTTGCCTGCCTGCAGGTGCTGGGGGCCCGGCATCTGCCAAAGAATGGCCGGGGCATTGTGTGTCCTTTCGTGGAGCTTGAGGTGGCTGGAGCAGAGTATGACAGTGCCAAGCAGAAGACAGAGTTTGTGGGTGAGTCTCCCTACCCGCCCTTGCCCTTCCAGGGGCCCTGAAGGTCCATCCGCCCTGTGGCCCTGACCCCTCCTGGTGGTGGCCTGAGGCCTTTTGCCGTGGCTTTCACAGTGGACAATGGACTGAACCCCGTGTGGCCGGCCAAGTCCTTCCACTTCCAGATCAGTAACCCGGAATTCGCCTTCCTGCGCTTTGTGGTATATGAGGAAGACATGTTTAGTGACCAGAACTTCCTGGCTCAGGCTACTTTCCCAGTGAAAGGCCTGAAGACAGGTGAGGACCCTGCCTGGAGACGGTGCCGTGATCTGGCGCGGGGCGGCAGGGAGGGTCTTGGCCGGCTGTCTCCTGGGCTGAGGGCCAGGCTACCCCCTCCTAGGATACAGAGCTGTGCCTTTGAAGAACAACTACAGTGAGGACCTGGAGCTGGCCTCCCTGCTCGTCAAGATAGACATTTTCCCTGCCAAGGTAGCTGCGCGGGGTGTAAGCGCGCCAGGGCAGCTTACGAGGCCCAGGGGAGGTGCCGACCTCTGTGCACTTGCCTTTGTGGAAGCAGGAGAACGGCGACCTCAGCCCCTTCGGTGGTGCGTCCCTGCGGGAGCGTGGCCTAGATGCTTCGGGCCAGCTGTTTCACGGCCGGGCCCGGGAAGGCTCCTTTGAAGCTCGCTACCAGCAGCCATTTGAGGACTTCCGCATCTCCCAGGAGCATCTGGCAGACCATTTTGATAGTCGGGAACGAAGGTGAGGGGGATGGAAGGTAGGTGGCCAGTGTGCAGCTTGGAAGAGGGGGTGTGGAGAGCTGGGAAGGAGTAGCTCGTACCCCGTTGGTCCCTCTCTTTCCCGGGAAGAAGCGTCAGTCATGTTTCTGGCTTTGGGCTGCAGGGTCCCACTGCCGGTAGGACACTCCTCCCTTCTGTCCAGGGCCCCAAGGAGGACTCGGGTCAACGGAGACAACCGCCCCTAGTTGTGCCCCAGCCTCGTGGAGAGCAGCAGCTGCGGCAGTCTCATGGCGCGCTGTGAGCTGGGCTCTTTGGAAGCGGCCTGCCAGCAGCCTTCCTGGCCTAACAGCCTGGAGCCTGGGATTCCAGCAGTGGATGCTAGACCCAAACCAAGCCATTAATGAGACGTCTTACTGTTCTACGCCTCCACACTCCAGCTCTGGGTGGAGGCAAAACTGTACTATGTCTCGAGTTAAGCACACACATCTGGCCCTTACTTCTGGAGGTGGATCCTTCCATCTGTGGGGCCAGGACCATGGCTACAGCCCCTTGGAGGGAGGCTGCTCAGCTGGCCAGCACAGGAGGCTCTGAAGAGCCGCTGACATTGCTGAGAGTGGAGGAGCAGCAACCTGGCCAGGGTAGGGAACAAACCAAGTTTACATTGTCCTGGAGCTTCAGAACTGCAGTTGGGCAGGCTGAGAGGGTAGATGTCCCTGCAGCCTGGGTGGAAGAGCACGGGGCCTGCCTGGAGAGGGGCTCTGCCTGCCCAAGGAAGTCGACACAGCACAAGGGCACATTGCCCACGACTGGGAGTACAGCCCAGCCTGAAAGATACAGGGGACCACATTACAAATAGCACTACTGTGCAGCCTGCTCTGTTGCGGGCCGTGTAGGGGTGCCTTGCAGAGTACCATCTGGAGCAGGGACAGTGGCAACGTATCCCAGAGTCACAGCAGTGTGGGCCATGGGCCCAGAGTTGGATATGCCAGCCGTCACAGGCTGTACCCCTCACCTGCTGCCCGGAGCCGACTGGAGGACCTGTTCCCTGGAGTGGGTGGGTGGGGGGTGAATTTGTGAGCACATGAGACGTGGTGTATGGCAGTTCCTCTTACATTGTCAGTGACGACGTGCCTCATTTATGTAGAAGCCACTGAGATGTGGCAGGTCTACAGCAAAATTAAACCTAAGGCCTTTGTCAGATGACCGTGATTGGCACGGGTGTGGCAGGAATGGAGGAGTAAGGCCGAGCTGGGCCTCCCTCAGCACGTTTGAGAGCCTCCTTCCAACAAGGTACCCTCCAGCAGGCCAGCTGTGAGCCCTGTTTCCAACTGAAGACCACTGTCCCTTCTGCAGCAAAAGCCCTGGGATCTGAGCTTGAAGAGGGAAGGAAGTCTGGGTATAGAAGCCCCGATGGGAGCCAGCAGGCCTCTAGGGGTGAGGGGACAACCTGGGGGTGCGGCTCAGGTCTGGCTGTGGTAAGTAGGTGGTGGAATTGGCATTGCGGGACTGAGGTAGTGAGGCGTTTAGGCCAGGGTGGTGGAAGGATTATCTTTCGGGCACGGAAGACAGAGGCAGAGGCCTAGACAGGCCCAGTGAGGCCACAGGGCAACCAGGAGGTGGCCTTTTTGTCTAGGGAGGCTGAGGTGTCACTGGGGCATGGGTGGTGGTGAGGATCCCACCCTCTGGGTCTCGATTCTGGGGTGAGGCTGAGGACAGAAGCCCTTGTTTACGGTCCAGCAGGGTCTGGGCAGTGCAGGTGGGCAGGAGGGGCCCAGAGCACCACGGTGGATGTGCCCAAGGCAGTGGGGGCTTCCTCCTTCTGGGTGGGGCTCCAGTGTCTTGTGTGTGTCCCAGCTCACTGAGGGGAAGATGATGGAACGGAGGAAGAAGATCGCCCTGGAGCTCTCGGAGCTTGTCGTCTACTGCCGGCCTGTGCCCTTTGACGAAGAGAGTAAGGAGTGAGGCCCAGGCAGGGTGCACATGTGTTGGGTGCCCTTTATTTGGGGGTGGGGAGCTGGCCACCAGCATTGCCTGGGTGGCTGGGCTCTGTAAGTGTTCCTGTTTGGCCCAGAGATTGGCACAGAGCGTGCCTGCTACCGGGACATGTCATCGTTCCCGGAAACCAAGGCTGAGAAATATGTGAACAAGGCCAAAGGCAAGAAATTCCTCCAGTACAACCGGCTGCAGCTGTCCCGCATCTACCCCAAGGGCCAGCGTCTGGACTCCTCCAATTACGACCCCTTGCCCATGTGGATCTGCGGCAGTCAGCTGGTGGCCCTCAACTTCCAGACTCCAGGTGAGGGGGTGCCCTGGGGGCAGTAGGGGCCCCGCCAAGCAGTTGGGCTGGAGTCCACTTACTCCGGCTTTCCCAGATAAGCCCATGCAGATGAACCAGGCCCTCTTCATGGCTGGCGGGCACTGTGGCTACGTGTTGCAGCCGAGCACCATGCGGGACGAGGCCTTCGACCCATTTGACAAGAGCAGCCTCCGCGGGCTGGAGCCATGTGCTATCTGCGTCGAGGTGAGTGACCTCATCTCAGGAGTCAAGGCTGGGGTGCTGGTGCGTGCGACTGGAGAAGGGGCACCAGGCTGTTCTCGAGCTTGAGGAAGACATGACTGTCCTCTTGATGGGGAGAGGCAGCTGTGTGGAGCTGAGCTCTGTGGGGCACAGCATGGAGCAGCTGGGCCAAGCATGGCCAGTTCTAAGCCCTAAGAAGGCAGGTCATCCAGTGAGGCCAAGCTGTGGGAAGCCACTGCCTGGCAGCAATAGGCAAAGGACAGGCAGGAAGCCAGGGCCTGTGGTGAGCTAGGGCCTGCGCACAGGAACAAGCCAATGGCACTGATTAGGGTGAGCCTTTATCCAAGAGGGACCTCAAGCCCCCGAGGTCCAGAGCTATTACTCCTGTGCAGAAGTCCCTGAGCGCCTCTGAGGCCCCTGCTGAGAAGCTGGGATGTGGGCAGGACATGTGCAGCCTGGTGCAGTGGCATTCAGGGTGGGTGGGCTGAGCAGAACCTGGCAGGAGCAAGGACGGTGTGGGGAGCTGTGGGGTGAGCATGTGCTTCTTCCCAGGGAAGAGATTTCTTTTTTTTTCCCCTAGGGGGAAGTAATTTTTAAAGTTTCCATATTAAAAGAGACATGGATTGAAGGCAAAGTAGATTGTAGAAATTCACATGGAAGTTGAGGCTAAAGCTTTCTTCAAATGGATTTTGTTTGACAGTCCCTGCCTTTAGGGCCCTGAGTGTCCTCACGGCCCAGCAGAGGGCGCACTGCCTCTATTGCAGGTGGGGACTTGGTGGGGGCAGCAAGGACAGTCTCAGGCTCATCTTTGCCTGCCTGCAGGTGCTGGGGGCCCGGCATCTGCCAAAGAATGGCCGGGGCATTGTGTGTCCTTTCGTGGAGCTTGAGGTGGCTGGAGCAGAGTATGACAGTGCCAAGCAGAAGACAGAGTTTGTGGGTGAGTCTCCCTACCCGCCCTTGCCCTTCCAGGGGCCCTGAAGGTCCATCCGCCCTGTGGCCCTGACCCCTCCTGGTGGTGGCCTGAGGCCTTTTGCCGTGGCTTTCACAGTGGACAATGGACTGAACCCCGTGTGGCCGGCCAAGTCCTTCCACTTCCAGATCAGTAACCCGGAATTCGCCTTCCTGCGCTTTGTGGTATATGAGGAAGACATGTTTAGTGACCAGAACTTCCTGGCTCAGGCTACTTTCCCAGTGAAAGGCCTGAAGACAGGTGAGGACCCTGCCTGGAGACGGTGCCGTGATCTGGCGCGGGGCGGCAGGGAGGGTCTTGGCCGGCTGTCTCCTGGGCTGAGGGCCAGGCTACCCCCTCCTAGGATACAGAGCTGTGCCTTTGAAGAACAACTACAGTGAGGACCTGGAGCTGGCCTCCCTGCTCGTCAAGATAGACATTTTCCCTGCCAAGGTAGCTGCGCGGGGTGTAAGCGCGCCAGGGCAGCTTACGAGGCCCAGGGGAGGTGCCGACCTCTGTGCACTTGCCTTTGTGGAAGCAGGAGAACGGCGACCTCAGCCCCTTCGGTGGTGCGTCCCTGCGGGAGCGTGGCCTAGATGCTTCGGGCCAGCTGTTTCACGGCCGGGCCCGGGAAGGCTCCTTTGAAGCTCGCTACCAGCAGCCATTTGAGGACTTCCGCATCTCCCAGGAGCATCTGGCAGACCATTTTGATAGTCGGGAACGAAGGTGAGGGGGATGGAAGGTAGGTGGCCAGTGTGCAGCTTGGAAGAGGGGGTGTGGAGAGCTGGGAAGGAGTAGCTCGTACCCCGTTGGTCCCTCTCTTTCCCGGGAAGAAGCGTCAGTCATGTTTCTGGCTTTGGGCTGCAGGGTCCCACTGCCGGTAGGACACTCCTCCCTTCTGTCCAGGGCCCCAAGGAGGACTCGGGTCAACGGAGACAACCGCCCCTAGTTGTGCCCCAGCCTCGTGGAGAGCAGCAGCTGCGGCAGTCTCATGGCGCGCTGTGAGCTGGGCTCTTTGGAAGCGGCCTGCCAGCAGCCTTCCTGGCCTAACAGCCTGGAGCCTGGGATTCCAGCAGTGGATGCTAGACCCAAACCAAGCCATTAATGAGACGTCTTACTGTTCTACGCCTCCACACTCCAGCTCTGGGTGGAGGCAAAACTGTACTATGTCTCGAGTTAAGCACACACATCTGGCCCTTACTTCTGGAGGTGGATCCTTCCATCTGTGGGGCCAGGACCATGGCTACAGCCCCTTGGAGGGAGGCTGCTCAGCTGGCCAGCACAGGAGGCTCTGAAGAGCCGCTGACATTGCTGAGAGTGGAGGAGCAGCAACCTGGCCAGGGTAGGGAACAAACCAAGTTTACATTGTCCTGGAGCTTCAGAACTGCAGTTGGGCAGGCTGAGAGGGTAGATGTCCCTGCAGCCTGGGTGGAAGAGCACGGGGCCTGCCTGGAGAGGGGCTCTGCCTGCCCAAGGAAGTCGACACAGCACAAGGGCACATTGCCCACGACTGGGAGTACAGCCCAGCCTGAAAGATACAGGGGACCACATTACAAATAGCACTACTGTGCAGCCTGCTCTGTTGCGGGCCGTGTAGGGGTGCCTTGCAGAGTACCATCTGGAGCAGGGACAGTGGCAACGTATCCCAGAGTCACAGCAGTGTGGGCCATGGGCCCAGAGTTGGATATGCCAGCCGTCACAGGCTGTACCCCTCACCTGCTGCCCGGAGCCGACTGGAGGACCTGTTCCCTGGAGTGGGTGGGTGGGGGGTGAATTTGTGAGCACATGAGACGTGGTGTATGGCAGTTCCTCTTACATTGTCAGTGACGACGTGCCTCATTTATGTAGAAGCCACTGAGATGTGGCAGGTCTACAGCAAAATTAAACCTAAGGCCTTTGTCAGATGACCGTGATTGGCACGGGTGTGGCAGGAATGGAGGAGTAAGGCCGAGCTGGGCCTCCCTCAGCACGTTTGAGAGCCTCCTTCCAACAAGGTACCCTCCAGCAGGCCAGCTGTGAGCCCTGTTTCCAACTGAAGACCACTGTCCCTTCTGCAGCAAAAGCCCTGGGATCTGAGCATGCCAGACAACACTGCAAGAGGGCACTCTCTGAGACGATCTTAAGTATTAATTAAATCAATTGAAAGTCCTAATGGACATACATTATGTTGGAGTATGGAATTTTAAAGTTTATTTTTTGCACAGTATTTCTCACTATCTTCATTATTTCATGTAGGATGTATGATTTTCTATTGTCTTCTACTTCTAACCTGAAAGCTGCTTGGTGGGATGGGGAAGCAAAATGAACCAACTTATCTGTGCACTGTGGCAGAACTGTTATTTTTATGGATTTTACAGCTCAACTAACAGTGTTACCTTTTCAAGATTTTTATATTTATATACCCTTAAAACCACTGAGCCGTTAAAGCCTTGTTACTATTCCCTAATAGTGATTGTTTTCTAAAGCTTACTTTTAGAGTAGATGTTATTTAACATTATATGAAACTTTCCCTATCATGGATCGTAAACTGAAGGAAATTATATAATTTGAGAAAATGTATTCATTTAAACTAATTCTGAAATTGTATTTGAAAGTACGACCTCTCAGTCTTAACTTGTCCATAGCAAATATGTCTATATATGGTTTCCAACATTTGGTTTACAATTTAAATACTAACAAAAATTTTAAATTTTACTGGAAAAGCTTTCCTTCTGAAAGGGACTTAAAAAATCATATTTTTTTGTTCTCAGTGGTGTCATAACTAAGACATTGGCTCCTCACTCTTGGAGGGACACCTCAGCACAGAGCCTCGGACGGGGAGCGGCAGGTGTCATCGGCCACGTGGGCTGTTCAGCACTGTCAGGAACGGGGTGGGGATGGGAAGAGAAGCAAAGCCTATTCTGGTGAGGTGGGTTCCATGGGGCTGGGTTTTTGTTTTCTTTTTTTAAAGGCAAAAGACTTCTTATTACTCTGTCCTTTAGGAACAAAAGTTGGATTAAGGCATTGTCTGGCTTGTGGGTAGGTGGGGGGACAGGCGAGCAGTGAAGCTGCTGCATGGATGGCTGTGTCTAGCTGGTAGAAAGATCCAAGAAAGGAGATGGAAAGGTTGGACAGGCAGCCCCGCCTCTGGCCGGAGGCTGGGGCCGGGCCCAGGAGCACACACAAGCCCACTGCCCACATCTGGGCTCAGGGTTAGCCCTTTGCTAGTTCTGCTGCCCTCTGAAGATCTGACTGCCAAATAAACCATCTTCATGTCCTTTTTCCTTTAATTTGTGTATTCTTTTGGGGGCTCAGGAAAGCCTGTTGTCCGAGGACTTGTTAACCAGGGGCAAGCAACTGCCTGGTGGTTATTCAGCAGTAGAAGCAGGCAGGAAGTTTCTGTTAACTCCCCAGTCAAGCAGATATCTTCTGCAGCCTGTCTGCCAAGGGCCCTGCTTCGAGAGTAGCCTGCCTGGGAGCAAGCCCAGGTAACCATGGCCAGACAGCTTTGGCGGTGAGCAGGAAGCAACCAGTCTCAGTTTCAAAGAAACGTTTTGAAAAAATGGAGCATTCAGATGGAGGCTGCTGGGTACCTCTGGTTGTCTCTGAAGCTTGTACCCAAAATCTCTGCCCAGAACATGGTTGAAAAGTCCCTGCCCTTGCCTTCCTGAGGCTCTGTTTCATGGCGGTCCTTGCTAATTGGGATCAAAAATGATGTGCTACGTTGGGTGGGGACAGGCATAAAAAGGGAGCCTGAGAAGATCTGTTACTGAAGAGACAACAGGTAAGTGTAACCACTTGGTTCTTAAAGTCAGTTTGCCCCTGTGGTGTGATGGTGCACACACCAGAACAGGGTGGCTTAAGGAAGAGTTTTTTAAAGACAAGCCCAAGGCAGATTTGAAGTTGTAGGTTCAGAGCATCCCTTTACTGTATGACAGGTCAGATCAAAGTCATACATTTCCCAGGTTCACAGATTTAGAGCCAGTCCTGGTTTAGATAGATTCCGCTGAGCACAGCCCATCTGGAGAACTGGGATCACAGTTCAAAGTATCTCCTGTCGTCCACTGAACTAGGTAAAACAGCCAGTCAGTGCCACTGCTCAGGTTCCTGCTGGCACCTTGATTTTCTTCCTGGAGGGTCACAGTCCTACTCAGAGCAGAATGGTCCTTCCTCCCAGACACAAGTGGAATTGGGGCTTTTTTGACCCACGTTTATCCTCTGAACTCGAGGCCAGGAGAGAGCACTTTTCCAATCAGGAAGACGATCTGTGTTTGCCATCTGGTTAGGGACCATCTGTGTCTTATGATACCCTTGGCTAGTTGGTATTCAAGACATACCTCCATTTACTGTACCAAGTGTCTTTCCGGAGCCTGACGGGAGGACTCGCCCTGCGGTCCTAAGGTTCGAAGACCCCTGGCACACCTACCCCTGGGGCTCTCCTGCCACGCAGCCTGCGCCTTTTACTGCAAACTTCTTGATCCTTTTTCCTAGTAGAAAATGTGACAGCCCTTGGTTAAGCAAATTCACAGAAGTTTCACCTCATAATTCCTCCAGAAGCCAATTATTGGTGGACCCAGGAGGCCCCCATATGGGGGCCAAGGGAGACTCTTGGCCTACAGTGGGTAGCTGCTTGCCTCTTACTATGCATGCAGGCCATGTCCCCGCAGTGTGACACCTTGGGCTGGCACCACCTTCCGTACCCCAGGTGATCTGAATGAGTGGCCAAGATTGAGACGCACTGGGTTTGGGAGAGGAAAGCACAAGCCAGAGAGAGGAAGTCTAAGCACCAGGGCAAAGGCAGGGAGAGGTGGACTGTCCCTCTTGCACGCCATCCTGTCATCAGGAAGTGCTGCCGGCCGGCTGGCTGACAAGGGGCAAGTAGACAGCTCAAAGTTGCAGGCGTTCTCTTTCACCTGGTGGACCCATGCACGGTGCTGCCTACAAGGTTGCAGGCTTTCTGCAGCCCCGTCACAGGACTCGGTCAGGAACCCCCTGCTCTAAAGGCTGCCCTGTGGGGAGAAGGCATGAGCTGTTTCTGATCTCACTTGAGTTCACTGAGGATCTGTGACCAACTGTGGTCTGCAGGGCCTCCCTCCTGACCAGGTACCGCCCGAATCTCCTGCACCTGGGGCTAGAAACTCACTTATCTTTCAATTGGAGCTCATCATCTCATTTCAGTTCTGTTGAGATAAAAAAATATATATATATATAGTATCAGGTTATCCTACCAAACTAACTCAGGGAACAAAATAGGGTCATGCCTCTGCATTTCAAACAGATCAAGCCCTGTCTTTGCCTGAGAAGCCTCCTCACTGGGTCTTCCCCTGATAATCCCCAGGGGGCTCATGCCCAGGAGTCTGGGGTTCTGTTCCCTGCCTGGAGGTCACTGCAGCTGCCCCAAAGAGGCCCACAGCGACCCCTTGCCACTACAGGCAACTCCATCCAGTTGTGTCCCAACTTCTGCCTGCACCCATACCCACCATGGAGGTCATCTGATGGGCTTTGGGGATCCATGCCAGGTTGTTCTAGATCCCAAAGACTTGCTTTTCAGATTCAACACAAAGCTGCTTCCGTAAGACTTACATTGGCCTCCAGAAGGGCCAAGACAGGACTAGGCCCTGGTGTCCACCTGTGACTAGAATCCTTGACCTGCCTTGGTATGTCTCTGCCCAGAGGGTTTTATCCCAGGGGTCTCTTTTTCCTCCTGCCATAGGCCCTCTGGGTCACCCCAACAAGATTAAACCACTGTGACTTTAGAAGTTGGGCTTTTAATCCTATTCCTTCAAGGCCCCCGGTCCTCATGCACATCCACCAGCCCCTCCTTCTTAGCAAATGACAAGCCCTGCTTAGCGGCAGTCTTCTCATGGGAAGCACGTCAACACTCTGGCAGTGCACTCATGACATAGCTGATGACTCCACGTTCCACTTGGTTTGCCTTCGTTTATTCAACCATGTCAGAAACATCATAGTTCTTTCAGGTAGGAGCCATTCCAGAGGCCCAGGAGTGCGGGGGCAGGTGAGGTGGGGCTTCCCTGAAGTGGGCCATGGGGGCCTGCCCTGCCCGGCCAGCCACAAGTGAGGTAGATCTCGCCCACGGCGTACATCAGATGGGAAGTTTCTCTAGCTTTCTTTTTGACCCCTCCACAACACAATCAGCAGATGTGATATGATACATATTTACGTTTTTATTTAGGAACAAGCAAAACAATGTGGAGTACCATTTCGGCCCATTTCAAATTGTATAAGCAGTTTGTCGTTCCCCTCCCATATCCAAATCCACAGATATAAAGTCTAGGAAATGTGCAATTTGCATCTTAGAAATAGCAGCATCCCCACAGGGGACCTTGTGAGGCCTGGAGGCCCAGCCCACCAAGGGCAGCCGGCTCCTTCCACTCTGGCAGAGCCACAGCCCAAAGGCAAGTTCCCATCTTTCTGTCGAAAACACTATCTGGGTTACCCCCCTTTACCTGGGGTGAAGAACTCCCATTCCACCCAGGCCTAACTGAAGAGAATGCCTCCCTCCCGGCTTGGTCTCTCACACTCAGCCACCATCACAGAGGGGGACGCTCTCTCACAGTTTTGTGAAGTTACAATTTGCCTCTGGACAAACGAACAGGGCAACTACCTTAGCACCAAGATGATCACTTGCTCAGCCATGAGAGGCAGGAAAAGCACCGAAAGCAAACTGCTGGACAGCTGCTGGGGAACAAAGGGCTTGGGCTGCAGACCAGAATGGAGCGTGCGGTAGGAAACCAGGAATCGGGACCTGCAGGAAGGAACCTGCCAGCCCTTGGCGACCTTCCCAACCCCCACAAAGACTGCTCAGAAAACTTACAGCGAACAATGGCTGGCAGGGGAGTGGGGAAGGTTGGCATGTTCTCTCCATGCAATAATTATGGCACAGTCTGGCCCACTGAGCAAAGTGGCTGCTGGTCTCACTGGGCGGCCCCCAGTTCCCATGCTGGATCCCTGCTGAGGGGCAGGCGCTAGTTGTCCCACTCCTGTCACCCTCGGGCTCTCCCATTTCAAGCAAACTGCAAGAATGAGACAGCTGTATGTATGGTCAGGACCCAGGGGTGACAATCTTGCTCTCTGCACACAAATCACAGACCACCAGGAGCCGCGAGGGGATTCTCAGCCTCTCACAGGGTGTTTGCTCTGGGTCTGACTCTTGGAGCTTTCTATATTCAGCAACTCTGAACAGACTTCATCCCAGCAGTTCACCTTCAACTCTAGCTACAGTTGAGTACTTTCAAACCATCAACTTATCATGGAAAGGAACAAGTTATAAAGCATTAGCCAACAAAAGCTATTCAATAGCCCACTCAAGTGCTCCTGTGCGCACATGCACGCGGCAGAGCCAGTCTCCTGAAGGAAGAGGGACTAGAGGCAGGTAAAGCCTCAGACTCCTCTCAGGTCCCCTGGCTTGCCACGTGCCCCAGGTGGACAGCAGGAAAGACACTCAATAGCCGGAAGACAACCTCAGGCCCCACCAGAATGGCCTGCTCGCTGTGCTCACCCTCAGCCTCAGGCCTAAGCAGAGGACAAGCCAGGTTCTGAGGGCTGCTGGCGACACACAGCAGTAACCACACATTCTTTGTGAAGCCCTGCAGTCCTGCAAAGTCACAAGATGAGATCATTAGGAATCCAGGCCCAGGGGCTTCCCCCTGTCCTTGTCCGTATGTGACCAGGCCCACCTAGACCATCCCAGACCTTGGGACAGAGAATGGCTGATGCCTGCTGGGTCCAGGCCACCATGTCTCCAGTCTGGGACCCCATTCAAAGGAGAGGCCAGAACTGCACGCAGATAGGACAGCCAGTCTTGACAAGTGAGCACAGGACTAAAAGAACCAAAAAACGGCTCTCGATCCTCTACAGCTAAATTCCTGCCTGTGCTCCTTTCACGGCAGAGCCACATGCAGATCCTGGGTCAGCCCAGAGAGAACTGGGGCCAGCCTCCTCGCCCCTCCCTAGTGTGGCCCAGCGCTCGGAACACTAGATCCAAACCAAGGCCTGTGGGCTCTGTCTGGAATCCCTGCTGGTCTGGGTAGCAAGCCAGGAGCATCCACGATCATTGCGTCCACCCTGCCACTTGGTGGAAATCAAAACCCCTCCCTCTGTGAGAGGTCATGTACAGCCTCCCAGCCCCGTGTGGCACAGCTCAGCCATTGAAAATGGGCCCAGGAAATCAGCACGGCTGGGACCTCAAACTGAAGCTTGGGGAGGGACTGTTCTGGAGAAGGCTCAGGCCCCTCACTCCCCGCATTCTAGGTGTTGGAATTGTTCTGAAGGCAGCTGTGCCCCAGCCACATGGACCCGGTCCCTCTCAGTCTGGGAGGAAAGGCTGGGAGGGACGCTGATTCAGGAGACCCTGAAAAGGGGGGTCTGGGTTGGAGTGAGGGGAACTGAGCCCTGTTATTCTGTATCCAGCCCCAGCAAGCTGCTGGTTTTGGCCTAGATGAGCTGGCCATGTGCACTTTTACGTGTCTGGAGGATTTTTCTTCTCCAGCACACAGGTGAGCCTTGCAAATCAATGGGATGCATGAAAATTTAAACTTAATACAAAAGGTGGGTCAAACCCAAAACCTGCCCCAAGTAAAATCTGAGCAAGAAAATTGAGTTAGGGGGGGACTTTAGGGAAAGCCCAAACTCCAGGTCTGGTTTTATTTAAGATTTCCTTGGCTGGCTCTCCTCTCCTGCAAAGTGGGCTGTCACTTGAGCCCATTACTTGGCCTGTGATATTTGAACTGACAAAGCTGCTCCAATCCAAGGATTTTGGTCTGAGAAGAGAACAGGAAGACAAGAGGCTCTAAGGCCCAAGACAGGGCAGCATGAGCAGGGAGCCACGGGGGAGAGTGTGCAGAGAAACACGAGCCCGCAGCCAGAAAGGTGGGGACCTGCCGTCCACGGAAGGCAGCCTGGCACTGATGTCCCAGAGCCCGAGGGGAGAGGGAGGTGACCCAGGACCTGTCACTGGGTCAAACCCATGAGAGCCACATCGCAGCCTGGAGAACATGCTGAAACTTCCTAGTGGGACAGCATCCCACGGCCATCAGACCCCAGCTACAGGGTCCCAGCCAGCACTCCACTCAGCTCCCACTGCCAGAGAGCAGAGCGCCGGGGCCTCGGGTGGAGGCACTTTGGTCCACCTCAACAGCTGCCGGTCGGTCACTCAGCCACAAAAGGAGCTCTGGGTCACACTGCCACCAAACCCCTGAGTGCCGGCCAGTCATCCATCCAGGGAATCCTATTTCAGGAACCTGAGGTTCTCAAACATGAGAGCCTTCCTCCAAAACCAAAAAGCTCCTTAATAGTCAAGAATAATGTAAGTAATCAAAGTATGCAAAATACATGTATCATAAACCCAGATTGCCTTTATCAGGTGGTTGTATGGTTTCACCTGTTAAAACTGGATCTACAACCCATGTAAAAAATATAATAAATCAAACATGTACAGACATAGGCAACAAAAACACTGCAATGTTCCACTCCCTCTGACAAGTCCAAGTGCACACAGAGAAGAGGCAAAGGATTAGCCACCTTATAAAAGAGGCTTTTTCTTCAGGAGTGACTAACCCCAGCCCACCACCTACAGCCCCAGACCACCTCCTGCCATTTGTGTCCTCCGCATGTTGCCAGGCTGGTGTGGGCATCAGGCACCCAGTCGGCTGTGTTCACAGTTCTGCACCCAAAGCTCTGGGCACCTGCATGATGATGCAACTGTGTCTCTCACCATCACCTTTGATTCATCTGATTCAAGCTCAAGTCCCTGACCTCACTATTCATGTGGGTCCAAGAGCACAGGAAGGAGTGGGTCTGTCAAGTGAGCTCCTTACCTGGGCAGCCTCACCATCTGCAGTGTGACCCTGGCTTAGGGCAGGGCCAGCATCTGTGAAGACAACATGCCCAGGTGACAGCACCCTCCCACCTTCTAAAGACAAGCTGGCTGGGTCACTTCTGTGTCTGCATGAACTCATCCACCATGTAATAATTTTTTCTGCTTTGCTGTTTGGGCTCTAAATGAAATGTGAATACAAATAAAACAATAAAAAAAGTCCCCTCTAAAGACACCACCTTGGGCCAGTGCACACAGGGCTCTGGGAGTGGTGCTGGCAGGATGGCGTCTCAGGAGCATGGAGGTGACTTCACTCTGCGCCATGTCCCAGCATTCCCTGAAACACAGGCTACATTATGTTCCCCGACACCCACGAGCCCCCACGTTCCTTGAGCGTACGTGTCAGATGTACCTTCCATGAGTAAAGTATCAAATGAATATTTGGACTGTACACACATTTATATATAAATTAATCTGCACATACATAAACATGAAAGGGGAAATTCCAGGTATCTGTTCTCTGAAGGATGGTAACATTTGCCATTCTTGGCAATTCTGCAAAGAGGCCTTTGGGGCTAAATTGCTTTACACCCAAAATGGAAAGGACACAACAACAGGGGGCAAAACTTGCCAGGTACTCACAAGTCACCTATTTGAGACAAGAGGAGGTTCCTATTGGGACAGGGAGAGCAGGAGACTCTTTCAAAGAAGAATGGGTCCAGGGCTTTTGGTTCCAAGCAAACTCTCTCCTGGAAGGCAGAAGGTGCCGCCACCGTCATCATCCTCAGAACCACAACACCAGGTGCCTGTCCTGTTCAGCTCCTGGGTGGGGTGGGGGAGGACAGTGCCTAACCCACCCCCGGTATTTCTTGCCCAAAGCCCCTGCCCTCTCCCTGGTGCCCTTCAGTGCTGCTCACCCAGCCAGGGACCAGTGCGCCCCTGCCCTCTCCCTGGTGCCCTTCAGTGCTGCTCACCCAGCCAGGGACCAGTGCGCCCCTGCCCTCTCCCTGGTGCCCTTCAGTGCTGCTCACCCAGCCAGGGACCAGTGCTTTGGGAAGCAGTGGTTTCTAGGAGGTGAGCAGAACTGCAGGGGCCCCTGTGCCTGGCCCGCTGCACCCGGCTGCTTTCAGAGGAGTCAGTCGCAAGGAAATGGGGATTCGCTGTTAGTAGAGCTTTGTAAGCCAGCTTCCCAATGTTTCAAAGGCACCTTTTCCTGTGGTCTTCTCAGTCAAAAAAAAAAAAAAATGGATGTGAAGGTCAAGCTAAAGTAGACAGAGATCTTGCTGCCAAGTTTGGGGATATAAATATAGAACCTGAAAGACATCCTCACAAAGACCTATCCAGTGAGGTCCAGCATGCCAGGAGTACCCTGGGTGGTGTTCTGCCCGGAGCGCCCACAGGCAGGTCCACCCCAGGTGAGAGCCCTCATGTCCTGAGTCCCATACGCCCTCACTCGCACTCCCAGACAAGTGCGGCCGTCCTTCCCAAGACACAGGTGGCACTGAAGCGAGTGCTGAGACAAGGCTCCGAAACCATGGGGCGGAGCTACAGGCCGTGCTAAGCACTTTCACTTTCATTCCCCCCACCCAATTCTTCTTTCAATTTTCCTCTTATTCTAAACATGTCTAGCTTTTTTAAAAAATGTGAGCACATTGGTCAGTACATAAGCCTTAACAACAAAAGTTTCTTTAGTTGATCTGATAACTGCAAAATTATGGTCCATGATTCAAGTTCCTGTGAAAAAGCAGAATTGCTGTAACAACTTAAGAGAATGGTAAGCCTCAAACACTAATCACACAACCAATCTATTTCTTAAACTGTGGGTAAGAGCGGGTTCTGCACTGATTATCCCAGAAGCCAAGGCAAGCCTGGCATGTAACTTTGCTGGTCACCATGTAACGTAGCAGAGATGTCTTCAAACACTCTGCCTTCCTTGAGGAATGCGAAGGGCTACAGAGGGTCCAGATGTGGTTCTGAGTGTCCAGCCGTGGAGGTGAGGGGCACATGGCCCCAGCGCTCTCCAGGGAACAGACACAGGGCATTTCCAGAGATGATGTGAAACACGATGCTTTGGTTTGCTAACCAAGGCTTCTATGTAATGAAAGGGTTAATAATTTGAAGTTTTATTAAAAGTGTATAGGCGGATTTATATGTTAAAAACTTGATTCCGTGTCTATGAATATGAAATCTGAACTACTTTATCCAACGGAAGGCAAGGGAAGGTCCTACACAGTGGAAGGAAGAACTGGCGCAAACTCTGGCCTGTGCTTGCGCGCTGGAGGGGCGGGCTCTGGGCTGTGTGCGAGGCCTCTGGAAGCTCCCGGGCACGCCCAGCACCTGGCCATGGAACGGGGTGTGGTTGCAGAGTCGGGCTGGGCCTTCCATGCGGCAGGTGGGATCTTAGACTGGCCAGTCCTTCACAGAAATCGGTTCAAATTCAGTCTGTTTCTGAGGAGAAAACACAGGCCTGTCACTGCCATGTCAGCCGCCACTTGTATGGCCTCAGGCAGACAGGATCTTGCCATGCCAGGCAGCAGCACTGCTTTTGGGAGCCTCTCAATCCCATGAGCAATGTCTTCCTGACTGCCACCCCCCACTGCCCAGCCTGAGAGCGTGTGGGGAAGAATGGGCAGTGTGGTGGTGGGGGGGCTGCGGGCTACAGCCAGCAAGACCTCCTGACTGTCCTTGCAACCGCCGCCCACCCAGGCCCAGGGGCTGCAGCACAGCTTTCTAGGCCCACTAATCCTTTACTCGCCTCAGCCTGGGCCCTCTGGAAGCCCTCTGCACTCTGCCTCAGCCTGCCCTCTCTCTCCTGTCTGTGCATAACGCACTGTGATAATAATAAGAGCAGCTGGGGCTGATTTCTATGTATCCCCTGCTGTCCTCACTTCATCTGTGACTTCCAGCCCTAATGTCAAAGTCAGTGGGGCTGTCCCAAGACTTCGTCATCTCTGATGCCTGCAGACGTGGCCCTTGTGTTGAGGCTGCTGAGAAAGCCAGAAAAACCAACTGCATATGAACACACAAGCCCTTGCCATACCAGGGTCACCGCCTCACATAGGAGAGGATGAGGCCACATGGCAAGACGGTCCCCGGCCACTCCTGCTCTGTCCCAGCAGGGACATGACACTTCACTTTGCATGGGATTTAATAGCTGAGGGGAGCCAATGCTTAGAACTCAAACCCATTCAACCCAGCTCCAGGTTAGCTTTTCTTAGCCTGTAGTAAAATATTCACAAAACCTACCATTTTAACCAGGTTTAAGCACACAATTAAGTGGCACTTAGTACATTCACAATGTTGTGTAAATCCCACCCTACTCCCAGCTATCCAAGAGTATACTTTGGTAAGACTTTAATAAAAAAGAAATTAGTGCGTTTATGTTCCCAGCAATCGATGCCATCTTACTGACATAGCCCAATCCAAAGGGCCCTCCCCCCAGGGGGAGCAGGCCCACCCAGGGCTGGAGGAGATGCCCCAGGCCACCAGCCCTGTGAAGCCAAACCTGTTCCCGCGGCCCAGGGGCTCCCTGTGAGGACCTCACTGACTCATCGGGGCCTGGAGGAAAACAGGGTAAGTCCAGAAATACCAGGTCTTGGAACCAACTTCTAAAGGTGTACAAAGCAGAAAATCTGAGGATCCAGATACTTCCTCAGTTTCCACAGCCTCCTGTGAAGAGCTAAGTGCCACAGCTCCTTGCCCTCCTGCAATGAGGCCTCTAAGGAGGAGTCCAATCCGTAAGGGTGGGAGGGAGGAGAGAGGCCGGAGCTCAGGGATCAAGACCCTAGGAAATCAACACCCAGGAGCACGGCCCGTTACAGCTTCAAAGCCATCTTCAGTAAAATAATCTCAAGTTTTCTTTCAAGTACTAATATCATGATCCAGAGAAACTGAGGAACAAAATTCAAGCTTTTGATTCCACATGTGTCTAAGAGGAAAAATGACTTTCTATTCACTTTTATATCAGGAAGAAAAATAAAAATTCAAAGACAGGATTTTCATAATTAAAAAAAAGCATTTCATGTATCTAAGGACAATTAAAGGCTCTTTTTCCATTTGTTCACCAATCTGAGTTGGATTTCCTCAAAGGTCCTATTGCTCTCCTGCTCAGGGGTTGTGGTTCTGCCCTCCTCAGATGATGTTGGGACCTATTCTCCTGCTAAGAAATGGCTAGAAAAGCTTGGACCCTTGTAGGTTCACTATGACCCTTCCCCTGCTCAGGTTACAAAAAAAAATGAAACAAAAACAATTCTCAACCCTTTATCATTTAATCTCTAGTGGCCTCTACTGCCAGTTGCTCCTGAAGTAGCCAGGCAATTTAGTCCCACTGCCAGGCAGCCTTAGAAACAGTGACAGCCCCCACCCATGAGTGAGCCCTCGCCTGCCCCCAGAGGATGGCCCCAGGTCCCGTGGACTCCTTACCCAGCTGAAGTCCAGACAGGGGACTCGGTGTGTCTAAGGGCTCTGAGCTGGCCTCAGGGGCACCGGGCTCCCACGACTCACTGTTTTCAGACATCTCTGAATAGGTGTCACCCATCCCTCTGTGAACTGCCGCAGGGTCGCCAGGGCCTGGGTCCTCACTGACTGTGTCTGCCACGGCGCGGGTCTCCTCACCCATTTTCCCAGCAAACCACTGCTTGACCTGCTGGGCGCTCATCCCGGTCTTGTCGCAGAGGCCCTGCAGGTCCTCCTCATACAGCATCTTGTGGGCCATGAAATAGTCCTGCAGCAGCTCGCGGTTGCCAGGGGGTATGAGCAGCAGCCCCGGGGGGAAGTTACCCCTCTTGTAGTCTTCGTACCACTTGAGCTGGCCATTCTTCAGGGCGTACCTGCTGTCGCCAAACCAGCGCACCACCTCGGGCCGCGGCAGGCCCGTCTGGGCCCTGATTGAGTCATAGTCCTGGTTGCTCGGCCACTGCGTCTGCACAAAGAGCAGCCGCAGCAAGTGCCGCTGCTGGGCCGTCTTTTTGTAGCTTGCTCGGCCTGGGGGCTGCTCGGCCAGCTTGTTCAAAGCATCATCCTCCAGCTCACAGGCGCCCAGCCCTGGAAGATCACTCTTGCCATTGCCTTCAGTGACCCTTAGATTCTTGAGGTTGATTTTGATGGGGCTGACTTTGCGTACCCCAGAGGCGCAGCTGCCGGCCACTTCCAGGGAGTCATTGTCACCAGCCAAATCCTCCTCCCTGCCCTCGTCCCCAGCAGCCTCCTCCTCCTCAAGGGAGGCACTCCCATCGGCCTTCCTGGTCCCCTCGGCATTCAGCTTTTTCCGTCTCTCTGCAAACCAGCTGTCAATCTCTCTCCGGGTCATTTTGGTTTCAGTCCTCAAGCGGTCCAGCTCCTCATCGAGAGGGAGGGGGTTTTGTGCAAAACTGCTCTCCAGGGCTCTGAGCTGCTCCGGGGCTCGCTCCTTGTATTTGGTTGGTGTGAAGTCAGGGGTCTGGTGCCAGGACTGTCGCCTGGCGGAAGGGTGGATGGCCAGGGGAGCCGCTGTGGGGACACAGGGCACCTCAGGGGCCTTAGACGACAGGGAGAAGGGCATCTCTGGTACAGAGTCAAGGATGATGGAGCTCTGCTCCCCAGGCATCATGGCCCTGGAGCCCTTCAGGTTGCGGCAGTGGTACCTCCGGTCGCTGAACCATTTCCGCACCTCTCTGGTACTGAGGCCGGTCACTTTGGTTAGATGCTCCACTTCACTCTGCCCTGGGAACTGGTTCCGGCAGAAGCTTCCTTTCAGGGCTGACAGCTGTTCATGCGATTTCTTATTTTTGTAGATGCTGGCATCGAGGAAGGCTTGGGAAGTTATGCTGGGGCACGCGGTAAGGAGCGACTGGGCAGCATTGACCACCTTCACAGCTGACGTGGTATTTGAACACACAGTGTTAATGGGCGTGACATTTGACTGCTTGGGGACGGACGTAACAGCCAGGGGGAGAGATGAGCTTGGTGCCTGCAACCCATTGGCCATCAGTGGCTGAGTGACCAGGAGTCCCCCTGCTGTGCCTTCTGGCTGCCCCACAACATGACCTGGTAGAGCAGCCTGGATGAGATGCTGGACGTTACCAGCACTGGCCACCAGGGGGGTATTCAGAACAGTGATTGTGGGCTGGGGTGCAGACTGAATGACTGTATTGAACATCTTCTTCCGGGCATCCTCGATCTCCTCAGGGGACCAGCTGATACCCTGCTTCAGCCTTTGGGCTGTGAACCAGATCTTGAGCTGTTCTTCTGGGTACTTGGTGACCACGGTCAGATAGCAGAGCTCGGCCTTGGTTGGGTAGGGGAACTTGTGGAAGGAGCTCTTCAGAAAGCTGTTGGAGTCCATGGCTGCACTGTAGGTGGGGATGCTGCTCAGGGGGATCATCACTCTGGGGAGGGACTTGGATGTGGGCAGTGGCTGGTGGGCATGGTGTTGGGCGTGCAGTGGGGGCGGCTGCTGGAGGGGGAGGAACTGTGCAATGCCAGCCGGCAGAACTGGCACGGTTCCCATCAGCGGCCCGTTGGCCGCATGCGGGGCTTTGGCGGAGCTGGTGGATGCCTGGCTGGCTGGGACGGCCCCGTTGACAGAGGAGTGGTCCCCCACCCTCGCCTCTGATTCGCCAGCTGATGGGTTTGGTAAGGCCTCACCAGTGGGCTGACTGGGGATGTTCTCCTTGAGTGTATGGATTTTTTTGGCTTCAGCTTTGCCTTTCATTATCTTCATGATTGGAGTTTTGGTAATGATGATTTCGGCCTGTCCATCTGTCCCTTCGGTGCTGGGCTCGCCCAATAGGTCAGGAGTGCTGGTGCTCTCAGGGACACTCTGCTCCACGACTACATGATTGTCTGGCTTGGCCACATTCCACACAAAGCTGGCTTCCCCCGAGTGGCATTTGGCATTGTGCAGAGAAAGCCCCTCAGGAGTTTTTGCCAGAAAACTGCATTCACTGCAAACAAAAGTTGGGTCCTTATTGAAGTCTGTGTGCTCTGCGCTTATGTGTCCCACAAACTGAATTATGTCCTGGGATTTGAAATCACAGTATTTACAGGAGTATGAGTAGCCATCCAAAGTACTCCGGTGCCCGTTGGCCAGTGTGGTGCCGTCAGCACTGCCAGAGCTGGGGGCCACCTCGCTACTAGGGGCAGGTGCTTCTGGGGACGGATCCTGCTGGAGTCCTTCAGGCAGGGCCTCAGCAGGCAGGGCCTCCACACCAGCACCCTGCAGGACAATGGTCTTCACGGGGATCATGCACGGGGTGGTGGATTTCCGCTTGCTGGCCATGGTGGTGACCGTGATCGGGGGTGAGAGGAGGCGTGTCCCGTCGAGGGCCTCACTGTCCACGTTCCAGCCACTCCATGATGGCCAAAGAAACAGTTTCCAACGGCAGCTTTTTCAGTTGTTTGCAGAAACCAAGTTGTCCCTATTAAGCCTGAGGAGGAGGAAGAAAAAAATGAGCAAGGTCTCTTAAGCTCCGTCTGTGTACTTCTGAGATACCAGACCCACTCCACGGTTTGCCTTCTGTCACTGGGCCCTTTCACCAGAAGCTCAACAACAGCTCCTATGTGAGGTTTGAGTCGGGAGTACCCCAAGACACAAATGGAACAGTGCCCTGAGGGGTAGCCTGGGGACCTTCCAGTACCATTTGATAGGCTTGTGTTTTGTATTTCCTTCTGTATCCTTACATTAAGTAACTCAGATTAAAAAACAACAACAAAATAATCCTCTTTTGGACCTCCAGATTAATTCTGACCATGTCAGAGTAAGAACAAAAGTTCCTAGTGTAATTCTTGTTTAAATGTTTGGGCCAGCAAGGGCTTCTCTTTTCATAGCCTTCCCACATATGAGAACAAGACGACGCCTCCGCCTCTCCCAAGCCAGGCCCAGGGGCCAAGTCAGCGGCACTTGTGTGAACTAGGGGGCGGGGGGCGGGGAGCTGGCTGCCAAGGAACCCGGCCTCTCTGTGGCCGCCTGCTGCCTATCACAGGGAAGAGGCCACCTCACAGTTACAGGATGTCCCCAGCCCACTGTCACCCAGGTGAAGCCAAAAGGCAGAGGGTCAGGGAACCTACACACCAGGTTTGTGGCCCGGGAAGCTGTGCATTCTCTCTGGGTGCAGGGACACAAAGTGTGGCTTCACCTTGGGTGTGTGCACTACATGTGACCTTGTACTGTACTTACTTTTTAAATTTCTTTTTGTGTCTTTATTGTTCCTTTAAAAACCCTCTTAAATCATTTTTTTATTATTAAAGTGTCATTAATAACAGTCCCTGTGATCAACTTATATTGTGAATGCAAATTACTATGCCCCTTTATGACCTTCCCCCTCCCTTTGGTCTCTTTTCAGTGTCTATGAGTCTACTGCTGTTTTGTTCCTTTTGTTTTGCTTTGAAAAAACCTCTTAAATCTTTGATCCATTTAAAATTTATTTCAAAGGCTGGGGTGACTGATTTGCTTACATGTAAAATAATAACAACTATAATTCTTTCATGAGATGCCACGAGAAAAGTATTTCTTTTTGATCCCTGTTAACACAGTATCACCACAATCATCATTACCTTTCTTTTAGCAAATTGTAATATGGATAATGACTAAAATAATAGTAATGCTAATATTAAAATCATGTTACCATCAGTATTTGGATATAAAAATTAAAATTAAAATGTCTTTATTCAAATTCTTAGTAAATTAACACAGTGAACTATTTTCCTGTTTGTAAGTCTAATCCTGATTATTATGATGATAAAAAATAATTACTATTAAAAATAATTGGGGTGGTTTAAGGATAAACATACACCCAGATCAAACCACTTGTCATGATTTCCCCTACCAATCTGAAATCTCAAGCACATATTTTTACTTAATTTTTTATTGTAAAGATAAAAATACCAATATTAAGTGAAATTTAATAAAGTAAAATTACCTATAATTTTGTATACCTTTCCATCCTGCCCAAATATTTTATATGTATTTTTAATCATAATGGGTACACACTTGTGTTTCATTTTTTTCCACTGAACATTGTATCATAAACATTTTCATTAAATAAGCTTTATAGTTATAATAGTTAATAGCTGCCTAATAATGTCTCACTATGGACTGAACTCCTCCTCTGCTACTGAACAGGCTTTCAGTATCCAACTCTCATAGGTGACAGTGAAATGACCTCCTGGGTATATAAGATGTATTTCTTCTGTCAAATTATTTCCTGAGGCTAAGTGCACAGAAATGGGTTTACCAGATCAACGAATATCAACATTTCTAAGGTTTGCTATATATTTTTGGCAAACATTTTAAATCGAGTGTTTTACGATTCCAAATCAGGAAGACTAAGAGTGATATAGTTACGTATCCAGACAGCAATTCAGATTTTCAGATAAGTCATTGAAGACTTCAGGGTATCTCCAAGAGCAAGTGACATTAAAAGGAACACAGAAGTTGGACTTCATAAAAATGTAAAGCTTCAAAGGTCACCATCAAGATAGTGAAGAAGAAAAGCCACAGAATGGGAAAAAATATTTGCAAATCTGTATCTGGTAAGGGGCTTGCATCCAGAAGATATAATTCTTACAGCTCAATAACAACAACAACAAAAAAAGACAAATAACCCAATTTAGAAACAGGTAAAGTATTTGAACAGACATTTCTCCAAAGAAAATATACAAAAGTGCTCAACATCAGTAGTCATTAGGGAAATGCAAATCAAAGCCACAATGAGACACCACTTCATGCCCAACAGGATGGCTATAATCACAGTGACAGATAAAAACACATACAGGTAGGTGATGATGTGGAGAAATTAGAGCCCTCCTACATTGCTGGTGGGAATGTAAAATGGGGCAGCCCCTTTGGAAAACAGTTTGGCAGTTCCTTGGAACTGTTAAATACAGTTACCATAAGATTTAGTAATTCCACTCCTAGGTATATACATAAAAGTAGTGAAAATATGTCCACACAAAAGCCTGTACAGAACTATTCATAGCATTGTTAAAATAACAGCCAAAAAGTAGAAACAACTTCAATGTCCATCAACAGATGAATGAATAAACAAAATCTGGTACATCCATGGTAAGGTATTGTTCAACTATGGAAAGAAAGGAAGTACTGATACACACCTCAACATGGAAACATCATACTAACCACAAGAAGGTAGACACAAGAGGTCACATACTATATGACTGCATTTGTATGAAATGCCCAGAATAGCTAACGCCATAGACAGAAAGCAGATCAGTGGTTGCCAAGGGCTGCAGAGAGGGGAGGATAGGGAATGACAGCAAATGGGTACAAAGTTTCTTTCTGCCCTGATGAAAATGTTATAAAATTAGATGGAAAATATTCTAAAAGCAGATAGTGATGGTTGCACAAAACTGTGACTATAAAAAAACCCACTGAAAGGACTTTAAACCCAAGCAAGGTAGAGGCACTCAGTTCCATAGATGAGGGTCACTGGTCTCACTTATAAGGTTCCAGTAGAGGTAATGCCCCATATGTGTGATCCGTGCTGACTTACCTTGGCCCTACCTACCTCTGTCCTGGGTAAAGGTGAACGGCAGTGGCTGGGAGCATAAGGCTCGAGAGGAGAGGGGAAGAGAAACAGACCTGCAGGCTGAAAGCAGCACTCACACAAATGAGGGGCTACGTGCTCCCAGAGCTGCGCAGCCAGGGAGCTTCAGGCGCAGGGAAGGACAGGATCCCACCTACCCGGCACAGACACCTGGGACCGGAGGCCCTAACTGCTATTTACGATGGGGCCGAGGCTTCACTGAGGAAGTTAATGTTCCTGGCATTTTATTTACTAAGACTGAGAAGTGGACAACCTGAAGATAGATATGGTTTTGGGAAATAGTCCCAATGTCATTCAAAATTAAGTCTCAAAGTAGCCCTAAACTGTCATTTAAATAAATGATCCAGGAGACTAACCCTGCTAACCATTCTCTGAACACTGAAGGCAATTAAAAAACGGCAGTGGTGGGGGGTGTCAGCAACTGCCAGCGTTTACCAAGTTTACTACTGTAGGGAGTGCGTTATACACATCCTCACAGCCAAGAGGAGGAACCACCCTCATCCCGTTTTATTGACAAGAAAGACAGGCTCAGAGAAATACAGTAACTGCCTGAAGGGCACCCAGCTAGGAGGCAGCAGAAGCCAGATATGAACTCAGGCACTCTGGCTCCAGGGTCCGCACGGAGCTCTCTGAGCAACCACAGTACTGCTGGAATAAGGGTTGCATGACTTTCCAAAGTGATCTCCTCCCAGCCCCAACAGCGTGTATTTGGAAAATTTTCAAGCATACAACAAAGTTGAAAGAATTTTAGAGTAAACATCCATGTACTCACCACCTAGATGCTCACATTGAGGCTATTTCTAGCAACACTTGGTAAGTTTGGGTTTATCTGTCATATGTTTAAAAAGGGTATCCAGTGAAAGTGGTGCTTAAAGAGTAAAGCTCCAGTTACCAAGAGTACACTCACGGACCACATCTGACCAATGCGGGATTCATTACCACGTGGAAACACACTGGTTCTTAAGTCAAGCCCTGAGTGACGTGAGCTGATATAAATGTAAGGTTCTGTGCTGCCAAAAAGCTTCACAGGGAAGGGCCAGATGACAACAGCATGTTCATTGTTTCTTTGTACAATCCTTTCTATACCCTGTCTAGAAATTTTCTGTCTTGTAAATGGACTTTTTTTTTTAAAGCTTTTTTAAAAAACATACATTTTTTTTAAAAAAAGCATATGTTTTTAAAATGAGGAAATAAGAACAAAAGTATATAACTTAAAAAAATCTATCTTTGGGAATTGGGAATTGCTTGATTCACTAAATTAGCAAAGCTGCAGCTAATAATCACTAAACTTCACACTGCAAAATATACATGTGGAGATTGAAATATATATAATATATATGGAAGTGTTTGTAGATCAAATCCTTAAAGGGCTTAGCTTTAAATTACAGATAAATTAGGAACTTAAAAAAAAATTCTGAGGAAGGAAGTGGGAGGACAATAAGAATTCAACAGAAGAATTCAAATGTGTAGAAAGGTGACTCTCAGACTCTTCCCAAGCGTTATGGTAGTCTGGACTTAGCCCTCCTGGATGTACAAGGCACAATTTACTGTTAAAAACAAGAATAATGGGAGAAACTGACAGAGTTACAGAAACATTACCACAGGGAAAGATTTGAATATACTACTACAGGCTTTTGAAAGATCAAGTCAACAACAAAAAGGATGTAAAGAATGAGGCTGCTATAATGAGGCTAATTTGACAGATACAGATACAATGTTGCATATGCTAATCAACTTCATAGTCTTTCAAAAGCATTCATGAAACATTTTTAAAAGTTGGTGATGTGATATAAGGTAGCCTTGGCTTAAAAAACAAACAAACTTGTTAGTAATACAGGTTTTTGTTGGTATTTATTTTTTTTACT